AGATCATGCAGTCTCTGATGTAGCTGTTTACATCTTTGCACATCCTGCATTTAGATTCTGGATGAAGAGTGTTTTAAAGTTTAAATCTTCTTCCATGTTGGGGTAATTGTTATAACCAAAGTAAGCATTGAACAACCGGTGGTAGTAAGCCTGTGGTTGTTCATCTCTTCCTTCTTTGATGTTCAGAGCAACTATTAAACCTGATGAAGAAGCAAAGTCAGAAAACTCTCTCTATATAGCTTGGCGCAAGAGAGAAAAATTAGATCTGATGTGAGATGTCTGTCGATTGATAAACCTTTTGACTTCTGTGTTAGAAGTGATTTTGAGAAGATATATTTTGTCTTCAATAGATGCATGTGGGAACCGGCTGAGGTGATATTCCACATCATCAAGATACAATTTTACATCAGTATCAGTGTGAGGGTCAAAATTTTGAATGTGTTTAGCAATCATGTCCAGATCTTTGTTTATTAGTTCAGATTGAGCTTGGATGCTCATTGGTGGTGAGGAGGGGTTCAGTCTGACCATTTCAAGTGTGTTTGGAGGGTAATGTCTGTTTACCTCAGTGGAGGACTCAAAAGTCCAGAGATACTCCCCATTTGGTTCCAGGTCATCAGATCTGGACAACTGATTTTGTGAAATGAGTTTACTTACTGGATGTGATGTGTTTAGGCCTTTGTTGAAAGATTGGACATTAATGCCAGGAGGAGATCATAACCTCAAAATGGATGGATCCTTTGCTTCAGACAGTTGGTCCTGTAAAACTTTGATTTTTTCATCTTTGAGTTTTAAATGAGTCAGGCAGATATCATTTTGTTCAAGTATAAGGTCATTGTTTTCATATGATTTTCTTAGAATTGTAAAAATCTCAGTTCTATGTCGTATAAGCTTCACCTTTAAGGCTGTCGCTGATGGGTTTATCCCGTTATGCGCAGCATAAGCACTGAAAAAATTTAGTCCACGCCCACCTGCTGTGTGGGCCCCACCTGGTCCGTATGAAGTACGTTAAGAGCGGGAAATCGGCTCCCATTTTTTCTTCAGCGAGCTAATATAGCACTGTCAGAAGAACAAAGAAGGAAAATTGTGTAGATGACCAACCTTTGTTAAGGATGCTTGGCCCGGCAGTCGACCTCCGGTTGTCCGGTGAGTTCTCCTCCCCGAAGGTGTAGATGAACAGATGCAGAGATATATTCATCAATTAAAACGGATTCCTCATTTTTCTGGACTGAATAAAACGTGCATTGAATTTAATGAAATGCAAACGTGAGACGTCATTTATCTTTGACCCATCAAAACGAATGCGGTCATTTATTTACAGAATCAAAGTTTAACATCAAACATTTACATTAGTTTGGCAAAATATGAAAATAACAACATAATCCATCAATCAGGAAAACCATACGGCCATGATTTTCCGTTGCTTCACCACAGACATTTATGAAAACTGTACAATTATGATCAATTATCCACACGGCGGTGGATGAGCACTTTACACAGACATTTCTAAAATATCTGGAAGGATTTCTACTTTAGAGAAGAATTTAAAGATGGAAAGATGGGAGTTTAAAGGGAGTAAAAGATGGTATGTGAGGGGAAGTGTTCACCAGAACCGACACTCTCCATCAGAACCCAGCCTTCCTCGGTACGCTTCAGTAGGAAACTTGACTCATTACCTCTCTGAAGATTAATCAGCAGATATGGAGGTCCAGTTAACGCTACCTGTCCAGCGTCTCCGTAGGATGGCTGAACTCGTCCGAAATAGTGACGAGATTCCGTCCGACACCAGCTCACATCAGCAATAGCAATAATCCAACTCGGAGGAGCCTTATCATGCTGGACTTCTGTTCTCCCAAACGACTTCTCAGCGCAGAACCGAACTGCTCAGAAGCTTCACCGAACTGGTTTCTCCGCGCAGAACTGAACTGAACTGAACTCAACTCATCTCCACTCAACTCTGAGAGAACTAGGAAGTACCGGCATTTTTAAGAGCTCTTTTCCCGGTTCATTTGATCGTCCCTGATTGGTCCAAAACAACCAGACAGGGGTGTGTTTTGTGATGTAAGAGGGTTACTAAAAGTCAGAAGACAGCAAGAATGTTATTGAACAGATTAAACTGTTCTCACAGACAGAGAGTGTTTTGTTTTGGCGAGTTTTAGAAACAGGTGCCAAAACCCCCCCTGTTGACGTCTGAGAGGATGTAAAAACAAGGCAGTTGTTCCAACACATGTCTGCTTCGACTCCTGACCTCGGAAAACGCACACTTGCTCATTCAAAGACAGAAATCAGAAAATGCATAATTACTCTGTAACAGCTTTAACATGAATTCTAACTTTGCATGAGAATTAAAAATCATTACACTGTTTCACAGTTAATAAAATTGATTAGTTCACTGCAACATCTAAAATGGTTTGAACTAAGACACTTTGATTATCAACATTTGTAAAATAGTAATGATAATAAAAAGAGAGTGTTCTTCCACTTGATTTTCAAGAAAGAGAGTCTCAGGATGGGTGAACCTGTATTTCTGGATTCAAATCAATGAAATGACAGTTCCTGTCCCACAAGGTTCTTAAGGTCAAGGGTTTTGACCTTAGGCTTAGTCTTGACATCAGGTTAAGTTCACTACAGTCCCCCCTTTGGAAATCATCACCTGTCCATGGGGATGAATTCCAACTATGAACTTACGCCTTCAATTGTCCTTGAAGCTTGATGTAATCCAGCAAAGAAACCAAAGTCAAAAGTAATCCAGCAAGGAAAACAAAAGTCAAAAGTAATCCCACAATGTTCTTGGTAATTCCATTGTGTTGATTATAATTCCATAACGTCGTCGGTAAATCCATTGTAGCAATGCTTTAACCCCTTGGAAACAGAGTCTGTAATCCATTGGAAAAAGTCATATAATCCACAACGGTAAATCCACAACGATTGGAAGTGTTGATTAATCAGCATACAGAGGGGTACCCTTGGATTGAACTGAAGATGCGGCCACTGGATGAAGAGCGGAGACCAACGTCAGGATTGCAGGTCGCCTCCAGCGAAGGTCGTCTCTGGGCGACGTCCAGTCGGTGCCGTTCTGGTTCAAATGTGACATGCAATTATGTGGTTTAAGGTGGGCTTATGAAGGGGATTTTACATAAGGCCTTAAACTATATGCACCTGGTGTGTAAGCTATTATGGTTGGGAACAGCTACAACTACCAGTAAAGGGGTGGAGCATGCTGAAAAGGGGTAACTACAGGGGTTTATACCTATAGAAAAGGGGCCCAAACTATTTTTCCATTTCTAACTTGGTTTAAGTTAGCTTTACATGGTAAAATATAGTTTGGTTCAAATGTCTGTTGTCTTTTAGACGAACGACTTGAGATTGGGTGTTTGGTTTCCCCATAAATGTTTTGGAAGTCTATGGCGAGACTTATCAAAAAGAATTAGCTATCCCCCCAAATAGAATTATTCGAGTAGGTTCGGCTTAAGCGTTGTGAGATCAATGTAGATTATGGTACTTAAGGTAGCAATAATATACATTGACTCCGCAAAGATTGCAATTTAGCGAATGAACTGCATGTTGGCATGGTTAAAGGCCTCCTAGTCTCTAACTTAACTTACACACAAGATTCATTCTTACCTCAGAAACAACCAAAACCAATTCAACAACGTTTCAACACCGACAAGAGTAGTGACTAAGCAACTAAAACATCGTTTCACTGCTTCACCTCACCCTGGTTGTCAGTTTCAGTCACGCTGTCCCGTGTGAGTGGCTTCTTTGCAGACCCGCATACGCGAGGCATAATCATATCGAGGTGCGCTGCATGGCGATCCACGTCGACTCGGAGTGACGTTTGGCCCCGGAACAGGGATGCGAGTATCCCACACAATACGAGGGTTATCGTCATTAGCAGGGCTATGATTAACGTGTCCGCGCTTGACCACGCATAGGTAATTGGTTGGATCGGGTTCTTAATTGTGGACCTGAGGGACTTGAGAACTCGGTTTATTGGTTTAATTGTCGGGGGTAGGACCAGCAAGTTTAAACTATGGTTAAGTTTATTATCCATTAGTTATCTTCTGCTTGGATGACCCTTATTCCCACGAGGTCAGATTTTGTGAGATCTTTGTCTACTGAGGAGTTATTGCACGCCTTGTGTGGTTTAACCTGGTTACGATGTACCCATTTAACAGTTGGCTCTTTTTGGCCTTTACTGATTTTTATCTGATAGACAACTGGAGACAGTTTGTCGGTTATCAGATGGGGTCCAGTCCATCTAGGCATCAGTTTACGGGCGAGAGTTCCGGTCCCGGACTCTCTTCTCCCAGTTTTGGGGGCAAACGTGTAGTACCAGACCCTGTCTCCCACTTGGAGTTCCTCGTGAGAGGCCTTTTGGTCATAGTACGCTTTGCGTCCGTCAGCTGATTTTTCCAGGTTTTTCTGTGCGAAAGCAAAAGTGTTTTTAAGGTGTTTTTCCAAGTCTTTCATGTATTGTTGTGTGGTGTAGGCTGTTGCCATGGCAGCATCGCCTGGTTGGTACAACAGGTGTAGAGGGAGAGTCATTTGTCGACCCGTCATCATCTCGAAAGGAGAGATGCCAGTCGACGTGTGTGGAGTGGCCCTTATGGCCATGAGGACCAGAGGGAGTTTCACGTCCCAGTCCTTGTGGTTTGCGGCTACGTATTTTTTCAGAATACTTACCACAGTCCTGTTTGCTCTCTCAACCTGGCCTGAAGCCTGTGGGTGGTAGCCAATATGGAAGTTGGCTTTGACGCCTAGCGTCTTCCACAGTTCCTTCATTACTTCACCTGTGAAGTGTGTACCTTGGTCCGAGTTCACCCTGAGGGGAAGTCCAAACCTTGAGAATACATGATTCATTAATAACATAGCAGTGGTTTGTGCTGTGTCATTAGGGGCTGGTAGACATTCTACCCATTTGGTAAACGCGCAGGTTACCGTGAGAAAATATTTATTTCCTCTAGAGGTCTTTGTGAGTGGTCCGACCCAGTCAATCTGGAGATCCGACCATGGAAATGCAATGCCTCTATTATGCAGTGGTGCTCTGTGAAGTGGTCTGGATGGTTGAAACTGGCCACAGATCAGGCACCCTTTTATGTAGTCTTTGACATCCTTTTTCATTCCAGGCCAATAAGCAATCTGTTTTAATGCTTTCAGCGTGGCATTGTCACCCTTATGTCCTGCGGACGGAAGGTCATGTGCATGGACTAACATCACCCCCCTGTGGTCATGGGGGACCACGAACACAGGTGAGGACGTCCGTCCATGAGCAAAAGTTAGGATGCCTTTAAGTAGTTTTAGCTGTTTGCGCAGCTGAAAGAGGACTTTAAGGTCCGGAATGGAATCCAGTTCATCTTTCGATGGAGTGTATTTGTCTGGGTCAGTCAGATACATCATCATCGAGTTAATTGCAGGATCCAACTTCTGAAGTTGGATGATGTCTGGGTCAGTCAGCATTGGGCGCACAGAAACTGTGTTATCAGCAGGTTTAGCTGCAGCTTGTGCACGTGTGACTGCCATTACCTCAGTTGTAGCTTGTGACGACTGAGTGTTGAGTAGCCAGGAGGGGTCAAAGGACCACGTGGGTCCGTCAACGGCTCCTTCCTTGGCTAGGGAGTCTGCAAGGTCATTGTAGTACTTGTCATCGCCTGGGACTCTGGAGTGTCCTGGAACTTTCTTCCAGAAGATCTGTAGATCATGTGATGTCACCAAGTGATCACATGTCATGAAAAGCTCTTTGTGTTTTACCACCTTTTTGTTGCTTGTGAGAAAACCTTTCTGTTTCCACAGAGCGAGATGACACAAGAAACTAAGTTGAGCATAGTTAGAGTCAGTGCAGATGACTAGCGTCTGGATGGAGCGTTCCACTGCCATCTGTAGGCCTATTAGGATTGCAGCTATCTCAGCGTACTGAGAAGACTGAGAGCCCAATTTATAGCCAAACGTGACCTGTTCTAGGTCTTGGAGGAGAACTCCTCCAACACCTGCTTTGCAGATTTTCTCGTGGTGGAATGAGCATCCATCCACGTACAATGTCGCCATATCTTTACAGATATTGCCATCAAAGAAGTGGTGATTTGGGTCCTCAGCAGCTGAGGGCTTACTCACAACCGGCTGTTGGGTGGCTGGTACATCCTGTGTACATTCTTGGCAGACTGCCAAATCAGTGCCCAAGTGTGACTTCTTATTTTGACCGTAGCGGATGTCTAGGTTAAAACTTTGAAGTGCCATAAGCCAGGTTGCAACACGTGAGTTTGTCACCACACCATCTCTGATGCGTTGGCTGTTCAGAAACGTTACTGGCTGGTGTTGTGTCTCAACAATAATCCTCTGTCCACCAATGTAGCAGGAGAAATGTTTCACTGCCCACACAGTTGTCAATAGAGCCTTTTCACAGTCTGAATACCGTAATTCAGGGCCTGCCATTGTTTTGCTGGCGTAGGCCACAACACGCTTGTCTTTGTCATGTATTTGGTACAGACCTGCACTCATGCAGTGATTTGAGAAGCCCACTTCCAAGTAGAACTCTTTGTTGTAGTCTGGGTAGACTAGACATGGGGCTAACTTGAGTCTGTCTTTGAGAGCGTTCATTGCCTGCTGCTGTGTATCAGTCCAGACAAAAGGAACGTCTTTCTTTAAGAGTTCAGTCAGTGGTTTTGCGAGATCCGCATAATGCTCTATGAACTGGCGAGAGTAATTACATACTCCCAAGAAACTCTGTAGTTCTTTGAGATTGGTTGGGACTTTGAAGTTGTCTAGGCCTTGGGTGCGAGTCAATTGTGGTTGTATTCCGTCTGGACCTACTAGGAGGCCAACGTAATCCACCTTGGTTCTGCACCACTGGCATTTCGACAGTGAGATTTTAGCACCAGCAGTTGTTAGCTGATTTAGGACGTGGTCGATCTCAGCCAAATGAGAGTCCAGTGTTGGCTG